CCGGGGGTTGGGTTTGGGCTCACTAGTACCTACTTGGACGGGGAACATCCCCATAAATTTTCAGCATTCTAGCTTTTCTGGTTCGCGAGTTAGCAGCTTACCCGTAAAAAACTTTGGCGGGTTCTTACGTGGGTACCACGCGAGAAAGACCGCCTATTTTGGGGATAGAGCCCTGTACGTGCGTGTAGATTAAGTCCCCAAAGTTTCAGCCCTGTAGCTTTTGCCGGTCTCGAGATGAAAAATCGGTACAGAGGCCCAATGCATGCACAGACACACACACACACGGACAACCTCTCGTCAATATGCGTTTTTCGCATTGCATTGCTGTAAAAAACGCATAAAAAGACATACTACTTGCTGGAGTTGTTCTTCACTGAGCGACGGATGAGTGAGTCGTTCGAACTCCAATCGCGTCACCTTGGACAGGATGAGCACTTTTTTCGGATTGAAAGCATCCTTCTGAAATTAGCTCGCATCACCACACTCACGATGCACCGGCAATGTATCAAATCCAAGACATGCAGAGAGGCTGGATTTGGCGTTTGCCAGGCAGAACAAAAGCAGCTTCATTTAATGCTTTCAGAATCTAGCAAGGGCTAAGTGAGTAGAGAGGAGAGATGTACAAACCTCGGTGGATCGTTGAATGATGCTCGGTTTGGCGGTGCTGCTGAACGAGGAGGGCAACACGGTGGCGGCGGCGGCGGCGGCGGCCAGTGCACCATCCATCAGCAGTGCGGGAGCGCCCAGGCGCAAACTTGTTCCCAGCGTTTTCTGCATGAACAATCCATTGTGAATGAACTTGAAAGGCATCGGTGCATTGCGCCTCCTGCCCCGCGCACCGAACAGCTGCTAAACACAACCATACCTGTCATTGCTGCTCCATTCATCGACACTCAGCACGAGACGCGATCCAAACCAGGCAACTGACCTGCAGGACGAACTCCTCGGGGCAGAGCTCCTTCCTACCCTGGAGCTATGCAAAAACTAGGAATAGAGTTGTAACAATGCTACTTACACTCACTTTATTTACGAACAGACCCGGGCTTTTGCAGC